TACTGATGATTTGCTATCCGCAATTCATCTTTCAAGATTGTCCTCTCAAGAATAGCCATTTAATTTTCATCATTTATGATTATACTTTTAAGATTCGTCACTCAAAATTCACCACTCCAGATTTGTCATACAAGATAATTTGTTTGATCATACCCTTTCCTTATTAGTCAATCAAAATTTTTTGTTTGAGCTTCTACTTATAAGTTATCTTTTTACGCTATGACCACCTTTTGGCATTTCCAACCGGCTTCATGGCAGCTCTACCATCTTCTAAGAGCCATGTCCAACTTCGCCCTATAGCTTCGGGCACCAGCTTTTCGTTTCGCCCAGCAACACCAGCTTCGACGGACTTTCTGTCAAACTGATTACTTGTCGGCCCGCAATGAGTTGAAAAACAGTATACATTTTATTGTCGTCTACCACAACTTTTTTTTGAGATGCACGCTAGCATCAAATTCAACGCATTAACGTCAAGAATGCTACTCCTTTCCTTGTGGGCAGATTGGAGAAATTGGTACATCTTCAGGAAATCCGGTCCTGAGTGATGCCATTATTGCGGAGAAGGCACATGAACCCCTGAACTAGAGGGTCGAGCACATTGGCTCTCCACTTCAGACATGACATGCTTCAAAATGGGCAGTGCGTCAAGCTTCATGCAATGCCGACCGTCCGGATCCATACAGCAACCGGAAAATCGTGGCATATGACTGCAAAGACGAGCTGTCTCGGCAACCCCTAACCCTAACCATAGCAACTACTACAGTTTCACTTACTCGATGATGTTCCTTCATGTTATAAAAGTTTACGTTGTGCTTACTCTTCAATTGTCTTGCTTCAAAGAGGAGAAAAGCTCATTCCTACTGCAACTCAAATGCTTTGGATTACTTCGTTTAGGTAAAGAAATGATCACATTCCGCTCACTCATCGTTACTAAGCGCTTCTCTGAGATGTACCTGAAGATGTGCAATAAATCGTGGGCTTGATATACTTTCCTTTTTTCACGTCTGACTTCTTGAAAGAATGTGCCCGCATCCCCAGAGCTAGGACGGACCATTAGTTCAGTAAGAC